ACTGCAGGTTTCTCCTCTTCTTTTCCTCTTGGCCTCCTCTGCCTGTCAGGGCTAGCATCAAAAGAGCCTCAGCTGCAAGCCTCTTTTTGCAAAGGGCCAGAGAGTGCATACTTCAGTTCTGTGTTGTTTCTTCCTGTCCTTTTCCTAGCCATCTTCCTTCCTTCCTTTTAGAAAACAACGCTTAAAAACATGCAAATTGTTCTTAGTGCCAGAGCCATAGGGAAAACCGCCCCACTGGGTGCAGTTGGCCAGCCTCGGGCCCAGCGCAGTGTCCTGGCTGCACAGCTGACCCACCTGGAGAGCTTTAAAGAGCTCCAATGGTGACAGGACCCTTTTCTGGACCTCTCTCCCCCCAGCACAGGAGGACGCACCCCGGCCTATTGCTGTGGCAGCATGCTGGGCCCAAGTCTCAGCTTTGAGAGGGGAGGCAAGTACCTCAAGCCTCAGGGAGCCGCTGCCTCTCTGGCTGGTGCATCAGAATGAGGCAGCAGGTGGAAGCAGACCTAAGCCCGCCTGGACTGGGAGCCCAGTGTGGCTCCCAGGGCCCGCTGACCGTTACACAGCATCCCTGCACACGGGCCTGGCTAGTACAGCGTGCCCGCCCTCCCTCTCTGACTCGGGTTTTGCTGATGGGATGGGCCCTGGGGATGGAAGGTTTTAAAAGCCTCCCCTGGTGGCACAACACACACCAAATAGGAACCAGGCAGCTGGGTCCACAGCGCTGTCCTGCAGCGATGCCCCATGCCCCCTTCACATCTCCTCCCTTGTTGCCCTGGGAGCAGGGACCGGCCCTTCCCTGCTTCCGGGCCTCTGGTACCCGGCACTGGTCCCGTACAGAGAGGACCACATTGCATTTCTATACAAAACTCCACACACCATCCCAGAAATGTTCTGGGATGACCAGCTGTCCTGCTGTGCCCAAACTGTCCCATTTTTAGCACTTAAGTCCCCTGTGCCCAGGGAATCCCTCAGTGCCAGGTGGGATGGGACACTGGTCACCGTACATGGACTCAGGGCCCAAGTCTAGGCCTGGCCTGTGGCGCAGCCTGGAGCGTGAGGGAAGGGCAGCGGCCGGTGTCTGAGGGCCCAGGTCTAGGCCTGGCCTGTGCACAGCCTGCAGTGTGAGGGAAGGGCAGCGGCCAGTGTCTGAGGACCCAGGTCTAGGCCTGGCCTGTGGTGCAGCCTGGAGCGTGAGGGAAGGGCAGCGGCCGTTATCTGAGGTACCAGCGCTTCTCGCTCTGCACAGCGGGCCGGGAGGCTCTCAAGGCCCCAGACCCAGGCCCCACCCCAGACCAGCCACCTCGGCGTTGTGGGGCCAGAGCTGTGCAGGGGGGATGTTCCAACCTCCAGGTGACAGTGACATGCCGCCAAGGCTGGAACTTACTGCACTGGATTCCAGGCAGGGTCCTTGGATTTCCCTGGTGGGTGCACGAGGCCAGGGACCACACACGGCCTGGCCTGGTTGTTGCTGGGGACAGACCAGTGAGAGGCTGACAGTCAGGAGCGGATGTGGGCTCACGGGGATGCTCATGGAGCCCCGGCTTCCTTGACGGGAGGTGAGGTGTGGCTGCAGGCGGCGTCCGTGCCACCCACCCCCTCAGCTATCTGTGGCCTTCCAGCACCGCTAGGGGCCAGCACAGTGCACGGCACAGGGAGAGTCTGGGAGCAGAGCAGTGGCCAGAATGCACAAGGCCCGAGGCCCTGGGTGTCGTATCTGACACACTGGGGCTGGTGATTCGCTCCCTCATTCCCTGACAGCAGAGAGAACAGCCAACTGAGAAGAGGCCAGCCCGGGCTCACATTTCACCCTCCCAGCAACTACACAGGTGTTCCATAGAATAGACGAGAAAACTGAGGCTCTGGGAGAAGAGCTGGGAGAGCATTTCTAGGGTCGAGAGGTACCAGGCAGTGTTGCACCTGGCTGTTAATGGCAGCTCTCCTGGCTCAGAGAGGTTCAGCAACAGCCCTAAGGTGCACAGCCAGTGTGCGGAGGAGCCCAGCCCTCCACCTGAGATACTGCCCTAGCCTGCACGTCACCAGGCCCCAGACTAAAAGAGAAAGGGAAGGAGAGAGGTTGGCAGTCTTTACAGAGCACCAGCCGCTCTCTGCACGGCCTGGCAGCCAGGTTCTTTCTTCACCGCCCCAGGCCTTGAGGTCAGCCCTGTATGTTTACAGAAGAGGAAGCTGAAGCTGAAGGTTAAGTGACGTCCATGACCTGGACCCATGTCCATGCTAGTCTTGATGGGGTGCAGGGCGGACTGTCAAATGAGCACAGAACTGAGACATTACTTACACCCTCTGGGCCTCAGTTTCCTCATGTGCGCATGAAAATAATTCAACCTACTGGCTCTCCTGATGGTGGGATGTGCCAAGAAGCCCAGATGAGGGAGGTGAGATCAGTAGAGGGGAGGAGATGAGGATGGAGCAGCACTTCCAGAGGCCGTGAGAGCGAGCCACCGACTACACACACCCTGGATGCCACTCCAGGGACAGCGTGCACCCCTCGCTGTGCTCTGCGGGGACCCTGCGGCTTCAGGCTTAATGCAGCTCACTGCATTAGGTCTGAGAAGCAGGTAACAGCTACTGTGTTTTAGAGCCATTTCTATAGAAACCGCAGGCCCACACTTCCTTTCCACTTTAGAAAGGAACACAAAGGAGAGCGAGAAGAGTCAGTGATGGTGATGAGCTCCAACTCAGCTGAGGGGCTCTCTTGTCCATGCATCTCACCCCCCCAGAGCATATCACCTCACTGGTGTTGTGTACACACAGTGTGTGTGTGTGTGTGTGTGTGTGTGTCTTTGGTTCATCTTCCTCCACAGGGCTTTAGAATCAAGTCAACTGAACAAAGAGCAGCACAATCATCTCACACTGGGTGGCCCTTTCCGATCTGATCTCCTCCACGTAAGGTGCCTGTCACCATCAAAGCCTGTCTTGCAGATGGGACACAGCTGGAGCTGCTCACCCAAAGCCTGGCTGCGAGCAGGGACACGGGCCCAGCCGCCCCGTCTGCCTCCAGTGAGCTGCTCTTCCAGAGCCCACAGGCCCACTGCCACAAACTTCCTAGACAACACCGTGCAGTGTTCAACCAGGCTTCAGTAACTGCCAGTGACAACAGCTGTCCTTGTTCTCCAGAAGAAAACGCGCTGGGACCCCTGACCGAAAGACCCCTGACCCCTCTGCTCCTGTGGCCCAAGAAGCCGTGGGTATGCAGGTCAGGGCTGCACACATGCAGGCAGAACTGGCCTGCACTCATGATGACCGGCTTTGTTCATCTGACAGGGGCTAAGAGTTCACCGTGTCAGTGAAGACAGTCTGTGCCACAGCCTGGGTACACATATTGAGTCTGGAGGGGTCTGGGCGGGGGGAGCTGATGAGACACCTGCTGGGGCCAGCATTGCTCCACGCATGCCCTGGGCACCAAGAAGCCCAGGCGCTCCTGCTCTGCCAGCCTGGAGCCCATCCCCTGAGGTCAGCTTGGCACGTGGGGGCCCCCGTTTGTGGATGGAGACATGCCTGCAATGATGCTGGATTTCTCCAGGTTCAGGATCACAAAGCCCAAGTCTGTCCCCAAGCACAGCACTCTGGGACTGAGTCCCCTCCCAGCGTGCCTGGCATGGCAGGAAGGAGGATTGACACGGCACTGTGGCCACCTCCAGGACCTGCACCTGGCCCATGGCAGCAGCCCCAGGTGGTCTTCAGGTGGCCCAGAGGATGGGCGTCCCAGTGTGACATGCGAGGCCCACAAAGCTGTGCCAAGCCAGGCAAGCGGCCGGTGGGTGGCAGAGCTGGGAGTTGGTTTCTGGGTGCATTTGACCGTGGACAGCATGCTGGTGCCTGCAGGTCACGGCGTGTGGCAGCTCACCCTTATGCCACCTATTATGTGTCCCAATAATGAAGTTAACTTGGGACGGGAGATAGGTGAAAACTGCTTTGCTTGACCTCTCACCCTTTTCAATGACCCTCACGAAAGTCTAGAGCCTGGCCACAATTTTCATTTCAAGTGTAACTGCTAGAAAATGGGACCCAGGGTCCCAGTCCTCTCTAGCAATAAACTAATTCAGCACTTAAGTCCTTGTGGAACAAAGTCGGGCACAAATTAAAAAAAAAAAAAATCTGTTCCCTTCCTATGCTAGGGCCTGTCTACAGTTGACCCAGACTGCAGAGCCTGGGAACTTTGCCTCTGTTCCCTTAACTCAGGAGCAGTGGACAGGAGGGCTGAAAGCAGGTGAGGACAAGGGAGAGGCAGAGAGAACATGAGAGCCTGCATGCGCACGTGTGGAGCCCACATTATGGGGCAGGAGGAAAGGGCAAGAGGGCTCTGCTAATGTCCATTCAGAACTTCCACTGAACCCTGGGAAGCCTGAGCCTTGGACTTGTTACCCACGAATTACAGGACATAGTATGAGGGCTGTGGATCACACACTAGCCACCTTTGGCTGCTGGACTGAGAATAAGGTCCCTCCCCTTTCCTTTATCTTCCTAGTGGAATGGAACCAGTGCTATGTCTAGAAATAGAAGGTATCTGGAAAAATAATAATCAAAGTCCCAAACAAGTTCATTCCGGTTCTGAGCTCTTGTTGAAAGGAAACAAGATTAGCAAGTGTTAAGAGATGCTAAAAATATACTAGTGCTAAAAACAAACTACACCCAGACTTTCTGCAAGACACGATCTGATGCACTGAACACGCACTGAGGAAGGAGAACTTTCCAAATAAGAGCCAATGTTATTCAAAGGCTGTGTCATGGGCCATTGAGAAGCACCTCACACACCACCTAGATACCTTTGAACACCGAGTACCACTCACATGTTTGTTCTGGCAGTGACAAGACCAAGGCTTAGGGGGTCCCTGAGGCCAGGCAGGGAGAAGGAAGTCACGGTGGCCCCAAAGGGCACTGCTGCCCCATGGCCTTCCTCATGCAAGTTTGGGGACAGGATGCTGAACACACAGCTGAGGATGGGGCTCCCAGAGGCCTCCCTGTCCACACCCCGAGGATGTTACCTGGGCAGGAGCACTGCAGGACAGATGAGCCAGGTCTGCGATTCTGGCTGCGGCCCGGGGATCGCTGGAGCTGATCAAGACGGGAGCGCTGATTTCCATGGAGTGCCTGTGGCTTGTGGCTTGGGAGGACTTGTGTGTCACACTGAGCGCGGTGAAGGAGTGGCGCTTCTTGGCATTCTTCTTGCTGTCCACACGCCGCTGAAAGGCACTGACCGCCCCCGTGCTGCTTAATGTGGGTCCTGGGGGCACACTGGATGCCGCGCCAGGGTCAGAGGGCAAGGGGGCATGGCAGCCAGACGCAGCCGCTGGGCATGGCTTGTCCATCTCAATGAGCTGCTTGGCTGAGTCGTTGAGCTAGGTGAGAAAGGCAGAGGAAGGCCTTGTTAAATAGAGGTCACAGGCTCCAGCCTGCTCCCTGTGCTCACAGCCTGCGTCCCCTGTTAAACCCGACAACGTGTTCATGGTCCCGCAGATCCTCCCAACGGGGCCTCCCTGTGAATGGCGCCAGGCCCAGACACAGCAGAGGCTGCGGTGACATCTGTAGATTTTACTGAAATGGTCTCCAGGGCAGCTGTTTTTGTCTGTCCCAGGGTATCCCCAATCCCTTCCTGGGGTGCCCGTTTCTGGGGTATGAGGTGCAGACCTGCAGAGGGCATGGGACAGAAGGAGGCGGCAGGAACGCCCAGCCGTGGGCCCGCACTCGCCACGGTGACAGGCCCTGGCTTGCCTGGCACAGTTCTGGCCACGCTGGCAGGAAAAAGCAAGGCACGTGACCAGAATGCCCTTTCTGTCCCCTGGCGGGGACCATCCAACCTCCTGAGCAAGAAGCATGGATGCATCCCAGGTATGGACGGCGCCCCACGCACCCCCCTGCCTCACGCGCTGGCAGAACGCAGCCTTCCCCACACCTAGGCCGCTTCAGAGGGAGAGTCCTCGGCTGCTGGCAGAGCCCCCTGCCTGAGGCGGTCAGGGGAGAAGCAGAACTCGGGGCCCTCCTGGGATGTGCGCACACCTGCAAACCAGCTGGGGACAGAGAGGAAGCCAAATCTCAGACCCTGAAGTGCCCAGAGCTCAGGGCTGAGGGCAAGGCACAGTCCAAGGCACCGGTTTAGGGAAGGGGTGAGTAGGCAGAGAACCCTGCGGGTGGTTTGAAGCCCTCCTGGAAACGGGAGCCAGCTGTGGATGGGCAGGTCACCTGGTGCGGGAGCCACACCCATGTCCTCAGCTGAGCCGGGGAATGTGGGTTGGAGCTGTGGGCGGGAGGGGGGCGGGCAAGCCAGGAAGGGCCACGTCCCCACCTGCAGGGGAGTCTGGATTAGGAAATGTCCCTCAGGCCTGGGACGGCAGAGGAAAAACCCCAGGTTCTCACGCAGCATACACTACTAGGGCTTGCAGCTGGTGGCATCTTGATGAGTTAATGAAAATAATAATAAAAAAGGGCCCCTCTGAATTTAAGCAGTGAGAGCGGGAGAGGCTTCATCTGCACAATGCCGAGTGGATCAGACGCGCAGCGGTGCTGGCTGTCCAGCCGCCCACACACAGCCCAGGCGAGGCCACCGCGCTGTCACCATTTCCATTACAAATACCTGCCTTTCCGAGGGAGGTTTTGAAAAACTCACTGTGGGCCCCAAAATGTGTGATCTAAATCCAGGATTATTGCCTTTGAAACGTTTCTTCCAACCAGGCTCAGCTGTTTTGCTCTATTTTATGACTGTATTCCTTTGCTTCCTCAGCAGTGCTAGCTTGCAAGCAGACCAGCGGCTGTTGCCTCTCGTGGCCCTCCGTGGGGTGCTGCGAACACCCCAGGGCTGGCCTCCTGGAGCCCAGTGTTTGGCACCCATGCCACAGGGCCAAGAGGAACACAGAGAAGCAGGAAGCAACGGGGACAATGCCCTTCATTTACGGGCATCGGAGCACAGACTCCGTACTTTCTGCCATGTGCCTCCATGTGGAACATTATTACACAGACACGATGGCACCAACAGTGCCCAAGGCTGGGCGAAAACAACTCCGCTCTTCCCCAAAGCAGCCAACCTGGAGTATGAGGCACCGACAGAGCACTTCTGGAACACACGGAGCCCTGATCTGAGCCACTGCCACAGCAGCCACGGGCCCCACCGCAGCTCACCAACTGGCACGTGGCTCACCCCACACCGCTCAGTCCTCCACACAGCTCCCCGGCAGGCTGCTCATGGCCAACCACGCTGCCTCCTCCTTGATGGAGACCAGGGTGTGGGGGAAGCCCGCCTTTCTCCGCCATACCCATGGGCACTGAGAGGGACAGCCAATGAATGTCCATGAAAGATCGGTGTCTTAGCAAGCTGCGGGAGCCAGGAGGGCTGCTTCCAAGGGGTGACTCTCTGCACGTCCATCAGTGGCCTTAGAGTCCCTGACATCTCTGCAGGAGGCAAGGGACATACCAAGGAAAGACCCTCCCAATAGAGAGAGAGTTCAGTTTTATTTTCTTTACTGAACCTTTGCTTTGTGACAAGCAGCTTCTTGTTGGAGCTGTATATACATGGGATTAGCCAGTGATTTGCCACCCTCAGGTGGACAGCCCCGCCCAGGCTTCGAGCAATGCCCTGGCCCCAAACAGACCATGGGCCTGCAGAGTCCATGCTGATTGCTGCAACTCTGTGGCTGGGTCCCTGAAGTGACACTCAGTGTTGTGGGGAGCTGCCATCATCTTCCCGGCAAGCTCCGATTAGCCACGTTGCATGACGCTCAGGGCTGGGCCTGGCAGCTAGTGCTGCCAGTGCCATCCCAGTCCACATGGCCCATGACTGCAGGACACCCTCACCCACCAGCATCTGCCCGAGACAGCAGCTCCTGACTCACACCCCTCAGGTGCAGCCACGATTGCCCATTTCCTCATACTCCAAATGGGGGCAGTGTCGGCTTGCCTGCCTGCAGCCGTCCACACTGCAGGAAAACCAGATGGCTCTGCTCTCCCGCAGGCTGCAGCCCCGCCTTGTTGGCCTGGGGGAGCCTGGCCAGTTAGCCTTGGGGTCCTGGGGGGAGGGCCAAGGAGGCAGGGAACGTTGAAGTCAGCCCTCTTGTTCCTCCCACAAGCAGAACATTCTGTGAGTGGCTGCTGACTGCCAGCTATGAAGGGTGGTATGTGGTGGGGAGAATGAGTGCTTCCTGGCATTCTGCCCCAGGATTCTCCCTGCTCCCCACCAAGATGCCTGTCCAGCAATGAAAGAGCTCGGCTTCTCCCTCTGAATGTGGCTGGTCACCTAATCTGTTTCTCCACCCCACACCTAGGCATAGACGGCAACCCCCCACACACAACTGGTGATTAACTAGTGCACCCAATAACTCCCATTTTGACTGTTTTTGGACGGCAATAGAAGACATTTCCAACTTCCATACAAAATGGAAACAAAGTAGTGACACCAACATTACGTCTTGCTGGGTTTGTTCATGGATCCCGAGGACAGTCATTGGCCTGCTCCCTCCCACTCTGCGGGAAGCCCGCTGCTGCAGCCAGCCCCAAATCCAAACACTCAACCGCCACACACATATCCTCTTCCTCGGGTCCGGTGTTGCGGGTGGGACAGTACCGGTCAGTCATGGTCGCACCCTAGTCAGGGACTGTGTGTCTGCCCCTGGCTCAGGACCCTCTTCCCAGGACTCTGCCTCACCAACTTCATCAGCTCAGATGTGATCTTCCTCCACACCACTCTTCCCTCCAGCCACAGAAACATCTGGAAATGGAAGACCTGAAGGGTTTCTTCTTTCCATTGTTCAAACAGTTCCATATGAAGTCATCTTAGAGTTATTGGTGGCATCCTAGCTGCATGTGAATTTGGGGACCAGGTTAAATAAAGAAGACTCTCACCGCAGGCTCACATGGGCCCTGAGGGCCCCTTGGTGAGCTTGAGGCTAGCAAGGGATTTGGGCACTTGGCCTAGGAAAGTGCTAGAGCTGGGGGCCTGGGCAGAGCACGGTTACCCAGAAATCACCAGTTCTGGTCAAGAGGACTTTAAACTGAAGGTAATGTGGGAGGGAATTTTTAAAGAAAGAATAAGATTGGAAAACCAGGCATACAAGCTGATATCAGATATAACATGCAAGAAAGGACAATGGGTTGAGGGGTGCCCTGCAGTTCTCAAGCAAAATAACAGGGAAGCCCCTCCATCCTAACCCCGAGGTAGGGAGTACAGCCTCAACACATCCGCACCCCGGAGTGATGGGCTGGTGACGGAGACCGGAGGGAGGGAAGTATGTCTTCCCTTTCTGGGAAATCCAGGAAGCCAAAGAGGGGAGCGTGCTGGAAGCCAGATGTCAATTTAAAATGAAGGCAACCAACGGGTACACGTGTACAGCAAATACTTGCTGAGCACCTGCCATGTCCCGGGCTCTACTCTAGGTGCCGGGGGTGCTGAGGTGAACAACAGGGGATGCTCGAATAAAGCTTATACTTCCCTGTGGGGGTGAACTACTTAGGGAGCTTTGTAAAGATGCAGATTTTGGCTCAGTAGGTCTGGGATGGCACCCAAGTTTCTTCATGTCTACAAACTCCCAGGAGATACCACTATTGCTCGAGCCAGACCCTCTTTGACTAGAACATGGACGGCTTTGCAACCTCGGCTTCACAAGGAGATGCTCTCCCCACAGAATAGCCACATAACCAGAGACAGCTGCTTTTGTTGGCATTTGCCTTTAATGCACGGCTCCCACCGCAGGTGGGCTCAGTAGAGCACAGGTCACCATGCCTGGTAGTTGGCCTATTATTCCGGAGAGCTTCACAAACTCAGGAGTGGATGAAGAGTGGCCTTTACCTGCCTCAAACTTTTTTTTTATTTAAGATTTTATTTATTTATTTGACAGAGACACAGCTAGAGAGGGAACACAAGCAGGGGGAGTGGGAGAGGGAGAAGCAGGCTCCCCGCTGAGCAGGGAGCCCGATGAGGGACTCGATCCCAGGACCCTGGTACCATGACCTGAACCGAAGGCAGATGCTTAACGACTGAGCCACCCAGGTGCGCCCGCTGTGTCAAACTTTTGTCAGGAAAAATCTCAGGAGCCTCCCGCTTCACCGAGGTGGGCAGGCACAGATGGCTGACTGCATTTTGATCTGTGCCTCTTATTTGTAAAACACTCCCTTCTTTACGAGACTAGATCATCAGCAGGGGCAAGTGAGAACAGAATGATTTACTTTCAGCTCTGGCACCCCTCACCCTCCTCCTTGAAGGCTGTATCTAGAAACACAGCTCGGGCCTTCAATGAGAAAGGCTCCCAAAATGAGGGCTCTTGACCACTGACTGAGCAGGTCAAAGCAAGTGGCCTAGTGACAACCACCAGCCAAGCACAACAGAGACCCACCTTCATCACCACCAGGCTTGTCT